CCGAGAGTCGAAATACGTCGACAGTTACGAGGATGGCGACCGTGACCCCCGCGATCCCTGTGACAGTTGACACTTTTCGTATCTAAGAGTCCAAAAATGATGACAGTTACAAGGAAACGAGAGGGGGGGGTCGAGCCAAACCTTGGAAAAAAAATGGCGGAGCCAAACCTTGGAAAAAAAAAACCCCACCGTCTTTACCCCCCTAAACCCTAAACCTTCCTAAAGTCACCCCTGTGGAGGATGTAGCCCTATAAATCTGAGGGGTTCCTTCATGAGCCTTTCATGTTTCATGGCCCCAAGTGTGGGAGCCATGCTATGTGTATTGCTAGTGTTAAGTTTTTTAAGGGTATGGGAACTTGGACATTGGGAGCCGGTGGGGGCTTACAGGCAAATCCAGCCAATCAGTATTCTGAATGGCGATGCTGCAACCCCTGAAATGGGAGTGTTGTTTATTCCACTCCCTTTGGTTGTCTTTTTTTTGGAGTATGATCTTTCTTGGTTCTACCATCGCCTCAAAACCTAAACCCCAAACCCTGAATGAACAAAAAGAGGGGACAGATGGTGGAGATGGTCCTGTGGACACTGATTGAAACATACCACAAAGGCAAGCAGAAAGCCAGCGAAGTTGACATAGGGGTTTCCCAAAATCAAGGAAACCTTTTGGGGGTCCCAATGATAAGGATTGTCGTATTTTGCTGTCTATTTCGGGGTCCCCCTACTAAGGGAAACTACCTTATGAAGCAGAGGGTGGACAGAAGTCAAACAGCGAGCGAGATGAAATCTGAGGGGCGCTTGTATTTTGACATGAACTATATGAGCTATAGTTGAAACTCCTAGTATTACCCCCAATAATGGAGAATCAAATGGAAAAGAAAACGGAAAATGAAAGGGACACTGGGATTAGAGGGTAGTTAATGGGGATTAGGGTTATATGAGCTATAGTCTACACTCCTCAGATGGGTTTATATTGGGGATTATACAGGGAACTCCTATGGGGAATATTAAGAGGGATACTAGGAATTTAGACTATGCCTCATATGAGCAGCCATATTTATTTATGTAAGAGAGTAGCAGGCTAGGCATGTTGTAATTCTTGCGTCTCGTTCAGCGTTCCTTTGGGAACTAGATAGGGGTTGTGGATTGAACGAGATAGGCAACAGTTTCCTTTGCAATAAGAGCCCAGTACATATTCCAACATGGCGAATGAGAGCAGGTGATTTTGTCAAGGTACAATGCAAGATTAAATATACGGTGCACGAGATGAGGGGCTGGTACTGCATGCGGCCCAGGTAATAAATCAAAGCCGACGCTCATATATGGGTGGTTGTCAAAATCATGGTCCCTTTTTGGATCCCGATTATAATACGGCACCTAATATTTAGGGTACCCCAAAAAGGGACCGTAATGTTGACAACCACACATATAAGGATCAGATTCCCATATTCCCTACTAACAACCAGTACACTCCCCCAAACTAACATGGAAACCCATATAGCCCCTTTTTAAAGGGACTGTAGTCTTTATAGGGCCCTTTTTGGGTTTCTATGTTAGTTTCCGGGAGGGTAACTTGTCTTGCAGGTCGTAGGAGGCAGCAAGACAGAGATCCAATGTCGGCTGCAAGGAGGCTCATTTTCTGGGTCGCCATTGCTTCTACCAAGTTGCCATGAAATGGTTACAAAGTGCATTGCAAGGTCTCCTTATGAGTGTGACTTAGTTCAAGTTCCTCAAGAGTAACCTTGTTTTCAAACCCTAAACCCTAAACCTTTCCCTTGACAGCTTGGGAGTTTCTCAAATACGCGTATCATTTTGGCCGTGCCCATAACATGGGTCACATTTCTCAGCGGGTATGTACGCGGACCTGCTTTCAAGAAAAGCCATGTTGCTGCCACCAAGTTGTGTCTGTGTTCATGCCAAGGTGTGCTCCCGTAGCGTTTGGCGTCAAGCCCATGCCCCCAATCATGCCAGGCAATCTACTGCTTAACAGGCTGATCCACAATCATGCAATTACCACATGCATCAAGTGTATCCGATTTTAAGGAGAACTTACATGCCAGCTCAGACAGTTAGCAGGAGGACTGCTATCAACACATACTAGTCAGACTAACGCTTCCACGTGCTGCTTTTTGACTGTGGCCATACCATGCGACATGTCTTTCCGACTGCCCCGCGTCCTTCCCGAAGTGCGACCGCTGGTGGCAGCGGATTCAGACCGAGCATGTCGCAGGAGCGCTGTCCCTCAAGCACAACATGTCCCGGAGCACCTGATTCATCAATATAGCCCCAATATGACCCCTATATAACCCTGTATATTCCCCATATAAACCCTATATAATCCCTATATAATCCCTATAATCCCTGTAGTTTCCATTTTCTTTTCCATTATCCCAATGCAGGCACATCTACAGTGCGTCCATATCGGGAAAGGGGCCTGCCCCTACGCCGAGCCAGGCAGCACGGACTAGGTGGCAAACCCTTCACGCGCGTGTAGCAGACTTCCTCTCTGTCTAAGGGACCCTCAGTGCACTACTACTCCAACCACTTGGACACTTTGGGCACCCCGCGTCTTACGCGCATTGTCAAGAAGCCAGGCTCAGTGGGGCAGAAGGTTTGGGGTGAGGGTGCAGGGTGTACTGTAGGGGCCAGAAGCCAAGCGGCATGAGTAGATTTCCAAAGATTGCGGATCGCCCAGATATTCTGCTCTAATTGCAGGTTTATTAAGTGATCTCAATTTTGAAAATACTTAATTACTAAGTTCGGGTTGCTGTAGGCCTTGAGGCCCATGCTTTTGCACATGGTTTGTGAGGGGATGGTGGTATGGAGATTTTCAACAATATGCAGAAAAGCCATGATATTTGTAGCTCCTGTGGACGTTGTTTACACATGGAATGCCCTAGAGCCCGAGTCCAAAAGAGGCTCAGCTTTGTAAACAACTCATAGACATCAGTCAACATCTGAACCCCAAAAAACTCCTCTCCGAGATACGTCTCTGATATAGGTACGTACAGGTTATGTACATATGTAAGTATGTATGTATGTATGTATGTATGTATGTATGTATGTATGTATCTATGTATCTATGTATCTATGTATCTATGTATGTATCTATGTCGCGAACTATCTATCTATCTATCTATCTATCTATATACATATATAGAATCTTGCGTATATGTTCCCTCTCTGTCGGCCCCATGATCCCCCTGCACCTCCCCAAACGGGACATGATGGTTGCTTTTGCCACGTCTTAAGTGCAAACGCGCCCCAACATTAAAACCCTTAAGACCTTGAGTCTCAAACCTGAAGCTCGTACTCCTAAACCCTAACCTTGAATCGCAAGCCTTAAATCCTAAAGCCCAAAACCTAACTCCTACATCGTACCCTTATATAACCTTACATAACCCTACTTAATCCCCCAAAAGACCCTAATATTGCCCTTATATACCTTTATATAACCCTATTTAACCCCTATATAGCCCTAATATCACCCCTATATAACCTTATACAACCCTATCTGACCCCTATATAACCCGAATATTACCCCTATATATCCGAAGCTCTAAGTCCTGCATCCTAAGGGGTCGGGGGACTTAGTAAGTGGGTTAATAATGGGGATAAAAAGGGTCACTGTATGGGTTACAGGGGTTATTACTCTACTTCATGGGGATAACTAGGGCTACTATATGGGTTATAGGGGTTATTGCCGTACTTACTAAGTCCCCCTGACCCTCCAAGTAACTCCTGACTCCTGTGAGGCTTAAAGCGGGCACCGTCCGCGCTCATGGGCAGCGCCCCGACTGGGCGCGGTGAGTATCCGGTCCCAGTGGTTGGCTTTAGTTCGAGGCCGGGGGGGGTTTAGGGTAGCGGATTGAGGGTTTAGGGTTGCAGGATTAGGGTCTTAGGATTCAGGGTTTCAGTTTGGGCTTTTGGGCTGGAGGTTTGAGGTGGTTGTTGAGGGTTTGGGTCCAAGAGTTGCGGATTGAGGGCTGAAGGTTTAGGGTTCCGAGTTTTAAGATACATAAGAACGAACGCGGTGAAGAATGCTGAACAGTATCCTCCCTTTCTCGAGCAACGTAAGGATTAGGCGTAGTATCGGAGTTATTTAGGGTTTTTTGAGGACTGTTTTGGAGTTTTACTGGTAGTATCTGTGCCAGTTAGAAGCCTAAAGTGTGACTTTCCGTGCCTTCCTTAGTTGAGGGTTTAGGCTTTAGGGCTTAGGGGGTTGGGCTTAGAGTGCCCTAGTTTCAGAAGCTTCCCATCCCAATTGACAATACGGAGAGTCTCTGAAATTAGTTTTCTCAATCCGACATTTTGGTTCCCAAGGGACTAAATCCTAAACCCTAAACCCTAAGCCCTAAACCCTAAGCCCTAAACCCTAAATCCTAAACCCACTTGTAGGGTTGACGCAGCTGACCAGGATACTCAAACAGGGCCTTAAAGCAGAGCAAGCCTGTGAGCGGCATGGAGGCAAAACAATTTGCAGGCAAAAAACTCCTAGGTCCTGAATCCTACTGTAGGCCCATGATTCATAACCCTACAAGGGGGCCTTAAAATTTAGGATCCCTACTATAATCCCTATTAAGGGGAGCGGGTTTATTAATCAGGGGCCTGGGTTAAGCCTTAAGCAATCCACAACCCTACACTTCAAACCTACATGAGCTCGAGTCTGAACCTTTAAGGGAGTTATATGGGGGATTATATAGGGGAGCATTACAGGGGCTATTTAGGGGGATACTAGGTAGACGATGAACCCGAAACCCTAAACCTTACGCCATAAACCCTAAACCCTAAATGCTAACTCCTAAATCCTGAGCCCCATTCTTGGTTCCAGGCGGCCACCCTCCATGGCCAATGTACAGGCCCCCGCGCGCGAAAGAGTTTCTAAAGTATCTGTGACCCAAAGCCCCCTTGTGTAGTCTCCTTAGGAATTAATGGGCTTATTGTTTAGGGTTTAGGATGGAGAGTTTAAGGTTTAGGGTCTAAACTCCTTAAAGGGTTCAGGGAGATACAGGGAGTTTAGGCTATGGGTCAGCTTAGGTTGTAGTCACTTTAGGAGTTATTTGTCATTCTTATTATAGTATAGCCCTAAGGAATTATCAAGAATATTATGTTTATGATATATCCCCTAAACCCTAAACCTTAAACCCTAACCAGACGACTGCAGATTTGAGGTCCTTTTGAAGGGGTGACAGGCACAGGCACGTGGGGTAAATGGTTTAGGGTCCATTGTTTTGCCGACCAGCTCCAGGGATATATGTCCGTTACGGTGGATCATACAGGAGGTCTAGGGTTTCAGGCTATTGTGCCCCAAACAGTGAGAGGATTTAGGGTTTCAAGTTTAAAAATCCCAACCCCCAAACAACTAGGACCCCATAACTGCTATGCGATGACAGCCGGGTCCAAATTTTGGCGGTTGGGCTTTCCAAAGTCCTTTTATTGGTAGAAGTTGAATTCTGGTTGCAAATACCACACACTTAGTTGCAATCTGGGCTACCATGTTAAAGTTCTGCCGCTGAGTAACCATGAATGTCCAAGTGCGTCAGGGTCATTTGCTCATACAAGGACCCTCCTAAGCAAGGAGCTGACTTTCTGGAAACTCCTTTTTGCTGCTGTGTGACAACAACTGTATGTCAAGTTATAGTTCTGGCCATGCAACCCCACAGGATCTGAAAGCAATCCGCATGTCAGGGCCTATACCCCCAAAACCCTGAGTCTCAGTTTCATGCAGACTCTAAGCAAACCTATAGAACCCTGACAGCATTTTGTACACAGCCCCTGAAGTTCCGTGGAAGCTAGGCTGCAGCGCTCTAGGCTGCCGTTGTGGAACTTAGATTAAGTTACCATAGCACTGCATGGAGAATAATGCCTTCTCCTCAGAACAAATGATAACTTAACTTGGGTTTTTGCACGGCAGCCCAGCCAGCCCAAAGTCGCCAGTTTAGTAGCGAATGAAGGGATGGCAAGGAACATGGAAACTACTACAAGGTTTAGGGCTCAGGGAATGGAAAGAAAATGGACATTCTTCCATTGGTGGGGATAGTGTAGAGGCCACTTTACAAGACATTTTCCTTCTCCCCCCCCGCATTTTGAGGGACTCACCCTGCTTTGCGTGCTCTGTTGCAGGCTGCAGCTATTGCCGCTTATCTGCAAGAGATGGAAGTTTGCACTTGCGGTGCCACAGTAAAGCTTTAGGATTTGAAAAGTTGGAGTTGAGCGGACCACTCAGGAACAGATGATGCTGGAAAACGGCAAGTTGCAGGCAACTGGAGGCTGCCTCTCTTGTTTTCGCTGCAATCTTACAAGGGGCTCAGGGTTTGCTCCGTCTACCATGATTAAATTTTGGTGTCATAATCATGACTATGATGATGGGACCTAGCCTTGTCCTTTCTGTGCTTCTTGCAGTCTATAACCCCGAGCCGCTGCGAACCTTAGAGGACCTGACGAGCCTACCCCAAATCTAGACCTGGGCCCAACCCCCCCAACCCTAAATCCTAAACCCCCAGCCATAAACCCTCAACCATCATAAACCCTGAGCCATAAACCCAAAGCCCTAAACCCCAAAAGCCTAAACCCTAAACCCTGAACCCTAAACCCTAAATTTCAAACCCTACACCCTACGCCCTAAACATTAAGCCGTAAGCCCTTAACCCCAAACCCTAAGCCCTAAACCCTAAACCCAAAAGCCTAAAGGCACCTCGTCCTCCTTGCCGCCAATCAAGGCAGGCCGATCATCTGCATCGCTCCCTCAGGGCCATCATTGTAGCCATCATCTAAACTCCTTACGGGGAGGTTATCTAGGAGATGTCAGAGGTTTATTTAGGGGAATAGTATAGGGGGGGGGTTATATAGGGTTGAGGGTTTAGGATTTAGGGCTCAGGGTTTACGGTCTAAACTCCTTAAGGGGGGGTTATATAAGGGATTCTATAAGGGAATTATAATAGGGGATTATACAGGGTCTAGGGTTTAGGGTCTAAGTTTACAAAGGGGGTTATATAGGGGACTATATCGGGGACTATGACAGGGGTTGTTAAAGGGCATAATAGGAGTTTGGAATTCTGCTCATAGGGACTTCTGAAGAGACAAGGTGATGTATGCGGCATATGAGGATATGCAAGGTTTAGGGTTCAGGGATTTGGGTTTTGGGATTGAGTATGGGCTGAAGGATAAGAGACATAAGCAGATTCTGGGGACCTGGAGCCCGACCTAGGGTTTAGCGTTTAGGGTTTAGGGTTTAGGATGGGTGTTAGTATGGAATAAGGGATAGTATGTTCTGTGGGATTATACATAGGGGCTGCTACAGGTATCTATTCCTCCACACATAGAACTCCTTCAGCGATAGGAACAATGGTTTTCAAGCAGAAGTCCAGGAAATGGCGATGGTGCTGTTTTTCTGCTTGTTTGGAGGGTCGGTTCCCTAAACCCTAAAGCCCTAAACCCTAAACCCCTAAACCCCTAAACCCCAAATCCTAAAATCCCTGAACGGCGGTTCCCCGGTTGGAGCCTTCAGGCGTCCGCCTGGCAACACATCCAAAAGCATCATCCACAATTTGGTGGCAAAAATGGCTCCGCTCTGATCCGCTTACCTCAGCAAGAAGGTGCCATTCTGCTTAGGGCTTAGGGCTTAGGGTTTAGGGTTTAGGGTTCTAGGGTTTAGGGCTTAGGGCTTAGGGTTTAGGGCTTAGGGTTTAGGGTTTAGGGCTTAGGGCTAAGGGTTTAGGGCTTAGGGTTTCCCAAAGAAGGGACTTTAGCATTTTTGGGTCTATATCAGGGTCCCGAATTTAGGAAGATTACCATGTTGCTGGTGTTAAGGGTTTAGAGCAGTCCTTATCATGGCATGACATCGAGAATGATCATTATCAGGGGGTTGGGTTCTACCGTTAAGGGTATTCGGGTACAAAAAACGACTTCGTTACCTAGTAGTATTTTTCAGTGCCTTTGTTCTCTGACCTCTTTGTGGGCTGTCCTTTAAAAATGACAATTCTTGTTCCTGTATTGTTTTGTTGTAGCGCTTTTTTTCCGGTGGTGTACAGACCGACCACTGATGTCGCCCAAAGTCAGGTCAAACCCTCCCCAAACCCTAAAGCCTTCAACCCTAAACATATTGTGGATAGGCTTTGCCCTATGTGCCCCCGGCTGCAGCCCGAATCCGTAAACCTTAAACGCTAGACCCCAAACCCTAAACCAAAAAAGCCCTAAACTCTAAACCCCTAAACCCCAAACCCTAAACTCTCCCCCTTCAGCGCTGTCATTGTTGCAGGCGCCAAGCGTGGAAGCTGAGGTGGGAGAAGTTGGCCTGTACGTGCCTGTGTTGTGGGCGCCTTTTCTTTGAAACTTGGGGTCAACCTAAACCCTGAACCCAGCAAAGGCTGGGATCCTCCTCCGTGAGCTGGAGCAACCCTCCTTGTTGTGCGTTCAGCAGTTTCCCAAGATAGGGGGCCACAATATAGAGCCCATAATATTTTAATCCTCAAAGCGGGATCCCCGGATAAGGTACCCCTAATTTCATTTTGGAAAACCCTCAACTCTAAGACCTAAATCGCGCTTTTTCATGTGGCAGGTGTGCCATACTTCCAGCCCGTCCTGGAGATGGAGATTTTGAAAATCAGCTTTCTTTTGTGTCCGTTCAACACGGGTTCTTATCTGGCGGTTTCTCAAGATTAGGGGTCCTTAAAAAGGATTATCGTATTTTGGGGTATATGCTGGGATCCCCCTAATTGGGAAACTACCTTATGGGCCCCGGTGGTGCAATCTCTGTCCCGCAGGCTAACCCAGAACTTGGTAATACACAAGCCAACTTACTGTCTTGCCTGTTTGTTTTTGCAGCGCTGGGGCTGGCAGCATGTGGCAGTCAGCTGCCTCTCATCAAGGCATGGCATTGCGAAGCAATGCCGCCCATGTACATGCAGTTGAGCTAGGACTATTCTCCATACTTCAGGAGCAGTTGTCGTGCAAAATCCCAGCTTGAGTGAACAGCAGCCACTTCAGGCATCACATGTTTATGTGGCACCCTTGTCTGTGAATGCACCGTCATTTTTTGGCAGGCGCATCGGACGCAGCGGTTGCGTCTGTTGCGACTGATGACAGCGACGGCACGAGCGGGGGACCAGTTGACAACGGCTTTATGCGTCGACTATCCGCAACGCACGGCCCTCGGCCGTCTTCGGGGCGTTGTCCGAATTTGTTGCCAGTGTTAGATTCCAGAGACTCAGAACATACTTATTTCAAGCTGTTCTATGTGAGCTTTCTGCCATCTTTCTGTGGCCCCCAAGCTTTCCCAGAGAAGAGCAGATCTACAGTTTCCATTGCTGAAAGCTATTGTTTGCCCCAGCTCTCAGGAACAAGTGTCAACCCTTACCAGCATGTTTTTGGTGCAGATTTTGCAGTGTCGAGAAATTCAGGAAGCTTGATGTCGTCAACCTAAGCAGGGGGGCCGTGTTTGGCCCAGGAGCACCATTGGAGTCCTATTTTGGAGCTGACGGGATCTTAGCGAGCCTCAGAACCCACAATATACCATGACACACCACAATATGTAACCCAATATACCATAATATATTGAGATTTAAGCAAGCCACGGAGTCAGGAGCCGCTAAGCTAGAGATGCAAGCCCTTTCATGATTCAGGGAAGGTTTTTTCCAGGCCACCTTGCGTACACTAAACCCCATATTCCCTAATGACAGGAAATGGGGTTTTCTTAAGCCTTAAAACATGTGGGCAGTGACCTTAAACCCTAAACCCTAACCCATCTCTCTCTCTCTCTCTATATATATATATATGGTATTTTCCAAAATTCCGCGAGTGGCAGACTAGCACGTCAGATCTGTGGGATGCAAGAAGGGCATCCTGATCTTGAACCATACTCACATTGGGTTTTCCCAAAATAAGGGGTACATGTTTTGTGGGCCCCCATAGTACGCGTGATAATACATTGGGTCTATATTGGGGTTCCCTTATTCTTGGAAAGTACCACATGTTTCTTTCCGAGTAAGCCCAATCTCCCTTAATTGGGGAATATCGGATTTTGAGTTTATGGAGGGCTTAGGGTCAATACCCACATGTTTTAAGGCTTAAGATTGCCCATGCACACTAAATCATAATCCCTTTGAATGCGAAGCCCTAAGAACTCAGAACTGAGAACTTAAGCGGAAAAGGTGCGCAGCGGCCTTCTGGGTGGGCCTGGCGCAACTAGATGGGCACACAACTGCAAATACATGTACCGCACTTGTAGTAGAAACATGGTACTAGTCACCAAGCAGTCCTTGGGCCTGAGCCAATAAAATCCAGCAATCTATGCAATAAAGCCCGGACCTTCGACAGAAGAATGAGATTTAGTTGGACAGTTTTAAGTTGTAAGCCCGAATCTTCGTCATCATGTACCAACTCAAGTCATCCTTCTTTCGTTCTGAACAGTGACCCCATCATTTTTGTACAGCTCGCTACATGTTTTTGAGGGTGTGGCAGAACCTGCAGAATCCCGAACCCTAACTCTAAACCCCAAACCCTGAACACTAAACCCCAAACCCTAACCCCTTTACCCCTAAACCCTTGACCCCTAAACCTTAAAAAATGGTGTAGCTTCCATTTTCTCCTCCATTAGACCCAGGCAACGTGCTGACAAGTCCCTTCGCTGCCGTGCCGGGGCAGATGATCACTCGAAGGCAATGAGATGGGGAAGTTTTAAGTTTAGCAGTTTCAGGGTAAAAGGTTTGGGGTTTAGGAGTTTAGGGTTTGGGGTTCAGCAGTTTAGGATTTAGGGTTTAGGAGTTAAGGGTTTAGGATTAGAAGTTTAGGATTTAGGGTTTTGGGAGGACCAAATGCAAAGAACCTGGAACATGACATGTTTTTTTGGCTACAGCTATGAAACGCTTTAGCGGGATGATATGATTGATTTCTGACTCTTCAGGCTTCGACATTAAGTCTAAGCATTTAGGGCTTGAGGATTGGCCAGCGTTAGCGTCTGGGGTTTGGGTTTTAAAGCTTGGGGTTTTCAGTTTAGTTTAGCGTTTCTTATGATTTTAAGGGTTTACATATTCTATTTACCTAGGAGGTGCTATAAAGCTGAACAAGAGCTTAACCGAAATTGGGTTGAGAGCCTCTGGCTGGAGGGTGGGGCCGTAAACCCTAAACCCTCAA